CCCAGCTTTAGACCAGATCAGGATACACACATGTGTGTGACTAAAAAATCAATATAATCTACCTCTCCCAAACCAACGGCTAGTGCGAGATGCAGCTGTGCTGGCTCGCGGTGTGTCTTCTGGATACGGAGTTTCCGTTGCAGAGGCGCGGCAAAAAGGTAAAACGGTAAAATGTCGAGCACACACAAGCGCGGGGTAAAAGGATAAAACGGTAAAATCCCCAGGTGGCAGAAGCGAGGAGTAAAAGGGTAAAACGGAAACACGGTAAATGTACGAAATTGAGCGATGTTCCGAAGGTCAGCCAAACTCATGGAGTGAGAAAAGTCTCACATGACATAGCGAAAAACAATGCAGGTCAATCTTGATTTGTCTAATGTAGCGGACCGTAGAGCTGTTGAAAGCAAGAGTCGATCAGTCTTTGGTTAAGATCTAAAAACTCACATTGTCTCTTCGAGAAGATGCACAGACTTCGTCAAGTTGTAGGCTTGACACTGCTCAGGCCCTGAATCCGAGTCAGGCAAAGCCGAAAACACATGGATTGAGTGATAGACGGATGCATTTTGGTGCTCTATTACTGTTTTTTTGCGAATCCACGTGCGCACTGTGTCCTTGTTTAACGTTTTGCACACAGGCTTGATTACATAGGAAAGATACATGCGCATGCTGCTCTGTTGTGTTTGCTGGCTGTTTTCTGCCTTTGCTGTTTTTGATGCACTCGGCTGGACACCACAACGCGCGGTAAAAGGGTCAAACAAATTGACCGGTCGACCGGTTTGACCGAATTTCCGATGTGCAGAGTCAGGAAGTCTACCAATGCCCTGACAGGTGTAACCTCTTTGGCTGAACGCGCGCGGGGAGCCGGCTTAGCGAGATCCCTTCTAATAAGTTGAAGCGAATTGCCAAGGGTAACAAGTAGCTAGTAGTGAGGGGGAAGCAGTAGCTTAACTAGCTACTTGCGATCGGACGTAGAAGGGCTCAGGCTTCTTCAAGGAAGCTAACCCCGCCTGAGAGCAGGGGTGCAGGGGAGCTTCCTTAGAGAAGCTTGAGCCTCAACAGCTCGGTTTGTAGATGTTTGTACCTGTGCACTACTCGGTTTAGTCCTAGGACTGGAAACTCCAAGCTTCGATGACCTGTAATGACCTCCCCATCCGGAGCCAAAAGAAATAAGGAACAAGAGTTGATGTTGTCATCAGTTGACAACAGTTGGTGCATGTTCAAAAGGGCCTTGTCAAGCATTTGTCTGAGCATTACCTTTGAAGTAGTTTGAAAAAAGTTTTGAGAAACTGATTGGGCCGCCTAGGTGTCAAGCATGCAACCCACACAGGCGCTTCCGAAATCGTTTGTCACTCCTGTCCTGCAGCTACTGAGGAAGGAAGTCCAACACTCATCATGCTGGTCATAGGGGCAGCTATAGCCGCAGCTCCACCAAGGATGCCCAGCCCACACAATCCTGTCAGCGGTCAATGAAAAATTGCCCATCTGGCACATACAGTTCAAACTTTGCACAGCAGTGGCAACAGAATTACTACATCCCGCTCCTGCCCGCTTCACCCCAGCATTGCTCCCCACCGATTTGAGTTGAATCGCAATCCGTGCCGCAACTTTGGCAAGAAACCTAATTTTATCAAGCGTCGGACAAAAAAGAGAGAAGGAGAAAGAGGGAAGGAGAGAGACCTAATCAGACCTAAGTTCTTCGTTTCTTGTCTTTCAATTTTCTTTCTTTAGACCTTGTGACCTGTTTGTATTTTACCTTTCTGATCTTTTGGACCTTTCTTTCCTTTTGGGAGTGAGAGAGAGGGCAGGACTAAGAAAGAACACACAAAAGCCATCATTTGATGGCTGGGTCATCCTTGGTACCTAATCGCAACATGTATGTAAATCCTTGTTCAAATGATAGTGACAGACTTTCCTTTTCCTTTTTTGGCATTCAATCTGGTCAGTCACATAGTGTCAAGTGTGCTCCGGGGAGTTTGTGCCACAGGTAGTTTCGCTTGCCTTCTTGCTATAGTTTGCTCTGTCACATGTGGACAAGTCCACCCTGTCTCTAAGGCGATGCAAAGATCAAAGACTGGCGAAGGCTTCCCATTGTGCCACGGTCCGTCAAAGGAAAGGCCTATATAACAACTTCATAGAGTAGGTGGTCCATAAAGTTGTTGCAACATTCATTGCCGAGTAGCGAACAGCCTCAGCAAAGGAGAAAATTCGAGCTTCCCTTATGATCTGGACACATTTGGCAAATGTCAAGTTGAGAAGTTTGACACCCAAGTAGCGATGAAACTTCTCCCGCAGAACCAACACTTCGTTGGCGGCATTGTCCAATGCTTGCTTCTCACCTCACAACGTTGTGGCTAAGCCGCAAAGCAATAGTTGAAGATGAATGTGAGGCTTGATCCAGGGCACGTCCCTTGCGGAAGATCTCTGTTGCGAAAACCTGCGTGGTTGGATCCTTAGCAACTTCAAGAAAAGGAATCATGGACCAGGTGAAGGCTGATGTCAAAATATTCAACTGATGCAGACTGCAGAAGCGCAGCAAGCGTCCCGAGTTGTAGATTCCAGGAATGCTAAACGGGCAGCGTAAAACAATGCCTCTGGCACGTGGCAGTATTCTTCACCTTAACGCTATAGATCCAAGACACCTATATATTCTCATCTGCACACACGAGCACATTCCAAAAGCTTAGGGCAATACGGATCTGCTGACCTTATTTTGCAGGTCAGATTCGAGCTTCAATGAAGAATGAACATTCATGATGCATGCAAGCTGCTGTACACTTCATATTGCTGCCACGGCCGGCCAAGAACGGCCATGTCAAAGTCCATGAATAGCTTGCAATCCATCTCATCATGCTCTGTACATTTGTGATGAGCTGTTTGTTCCTTGGTTAACTTGGGCCATGATTCAATCATCTCCTTTAGCGTCAACTGGTTGGTCTAGAGATCAGATGTGAATTGGAGCAATTCTCACAAACATTTCAGCAAGCAACTATCCATCTTCTGACCTGCGGGCAGGAAGTTGAAACAACGCTCATCAACCAGAGAGGAGTCGAGTTCGTGCCTTCGTCCCTATGAAGCCTTTCTGCTGCCCAGGTGGGTCGCCAGGGGGCAACTCTTGTACAAAGTGATCAAAAAGGACTGCGCTGTCCTTCTCATTCCTCGCAAAGCTCAAACAATTTTTCACTAGCAAAGGCTGCAGAGCCCATGTTGGTTCGCAGCCAGCCGAGCTGCTGGGGACTTCCAGCTCGAGGATCATAGATTACATCATGAAAAAAGATAGCCAAGCTCACTGCAGAAGGATCAGCGATCAATTTCTTGTGCTCCTAGCAACTAAATCAACCGCTGAGAAACCTGATCCTCGAGAAGTTGATTCTCTTGGTCAACATTGGTCAACAAGTGCGGAAGCAAAAATGTCTAAAGAAAGAAAGAGGCAACGGCACAACTAATCACAGGATCCTCGAAGTACCCAAACATTTCAGCAAGGTGGGACAATGTGTGGTATGCTCGCTGCTTCTCCGTATAACCTGATCAGCTCAAGATCAAAATCGAAAGCGAAGAAGACAAATGTCCCCATGTGCCAAGAAGCGTGTTTCCAATACATCCCACCACTTCTGCTCAATGCCTTTGGACCTAAGAGCAGCAAATAGGTTGCGAAGAGCACATTCAGATTTATGAATGATTCAGACAAGCCACACGCCAAGGCTTCCACAAAGCTCCTACAGGGTCCGAGCTGATCATGATATTGATGTATGTGCATCATAACAAAGCAAGAATTAAAAAAAAAAATAACTGAGAGAGGGCCTCCCATCGACGTTTGAGCTGCTTGCTCTCAGACATGTTTGAGCCGAGAACACTTGGTTGGAACGATGCGCTGTGAGAAGGAACAAAAACGCGAAGGAAAAGCAAAAGCATAAAAAGAAATGAAGCAAGTTGCTCAATCAAACGTGACGCAGCACTTCGTTGGGGTAGGTGGCAAGTTGTCCAGCACAGCCTCGCAGAAAATGAGACTATATAGAATGAAAAGCACCGAGTGTCCTGCCTCCGTCTTGGACAAAACCATGTGCCGTGCTAATATAAGTTAAGTTTCCCTAAAAATCTAGAAACCAAATCATTAGTGTGAGCGCTTCTTCAAGGAAGCCTCCCAGCCGCCTTTAGGGCGGCGGGGGGGAGCTTCCTTGAAGAAGCGTGAGCTATCCTGCGTCCATACTACTACTAACTACCGCTAGCGGCCTACCCCCCCCAAAAAAAAAAATAACTATATATATATACAAATACAACACAAGTTCTTGCAAAATGTTGCGAACAGCGAGGAGTTGAGTTGCAACTTCTCACATATCTGCCTGGTGCAAGCTCATGGTCACCTGAGGAAGCTGAAGACTGGCCTCCTGAACTGCCTCAGGCGGATGGTCCCGTTGCTGTGCCAAAAGTCCAGTTGTGTTGGAACTCAGCAGCTCAGTTGTGCTTCAAATTTGTTGACGTTCAGTGTGTTGAGTCGCTGGTGTTAAACAATCCACGTGAGGTCCATGCGCTATCAAAGCCCAAAAAGCCTCGTTGTAAAAAGGCTCAGTGGCTTGACAAGGATGTTGATCCAAAAGCATACAGCTGCAACTTGAACCTGCATGAACTAGGACTGCCACTGTTCTTGAGAATGGACGAGTAGATCCTTTCGACTGTGTCCCCAGCAGGGAATGTAATGCCAATACAAGCCTGGGTCAAAAGCAAGTGTTTGTGTATGTGTAAACATCATGCCTGCTAATAAGAATTTTTTTCGTGCTCTTTCAACTAAAGGGCGAGTTGTGTTTTTAACAGATCTAACTTGAGCATAAGGGCATACAACGATACCACGCGAGGATCGATGGTGTTGCGGCCAGCACCAGGGGGGCTGCATTCCCGAGACGAATTGGCAATCCTGAATGTGTCTCGTGCCGTGCCACATCTTTTCTGTCCGTAAACAAAGCCCAAAGGTCAAGTCCTGAATGATGATCTTGTCCAAATCGCCACCCCGTTCATACATGAACATTCCTGAACACCGTACACCAAAATTGGAGCGTTCCTTTCTTTCCATTCTTTTTGGCCCAGCCACTCTCCATGAGGAATTTCAGCAGTGCTAAGGGCTGCTGTGTCCCGTAGAGGTCCTAAGCTATTCAGCATCCACTGAGTTTCCCTAAAATCTAGAAAGCAAATCATTAGTGCGAGCGCTTCTTCAAGGAAGCTCCCCGGCGCTTTCAGGCAGGGAAGCTTCCTTGAAGAAGCGTGAGCTATCCTGCGTCCAGTTACTAGTAGCTTACTCCCTTAATTAGGTGGGCGCCTACTTAATTCAGTAAGGAGGGCTTTAAATAGAAAAAGTATGTTTTATATACCAAAGTCAACAAAACTCTTCAGCCCAATCCCCCCGAGCCCTGCAGATTCAAAGGTAAGTGACAATCTTGGGCATGGAGAGGTCATCAATGAAAATCCGCAACTTCTTGCCCTGTCAAGCCAAGGCTTGATGCTATGCAATTGTGTCAGACTCTGAAGGTTAGCTTCTTTAGCCACCCCTTCCAAAGATAGATATGGGCATATGTGGGCCTGATCTGGACCAAAGATTCGCCCTGTGCGCTTTGATATGTTGTCCTGAACACAAGGTCAATGTCATCACACTTGACCGCTTTGCCCACAAGCGCTGTCCTCCATGGTTCTCTGGAAATCAAGGCTGCCTCACAAGCACGAAACTCTTGAACTGGACTCGGCTCATTCCGAACTGTGTCGTCTGAAACAACTTGATTCTCCAAATCAAAGGCTGTCACTCGTTCTGGAGGAGTAGTTGATATTGAGGATGACAGACAAGTCTGCTGGGAAGCTCTTCAAGGTATTCTGCATTGTTACCTGCCCAAAGCGAAATCATCAAGTTTGGGTGAAAAGGAGTCGAGACTTACTCCTCACAACTACCTTGCTCTCCAAGTGACTGATTTTGCTGTGCCACTCTCACCGATGAAGAGCACCGGCTGGCTCATGCTCAAAAACTGCTTGACCTCGAAGGAAATATCTCTCAGCAATTCTAGAAATCTTTGCTTGGGCTGCTTAGACGCAACCCACAACAGACTCGGTTTTGAGGAGTACTTTGGCACTTGTGCCACAACTAAGGCGCTTGCCAGGTATGAGTATCGTGTGGTGTCAATCGTGGGCACAAAAATCTTGTTGAAGTCCAAGCCAGGAGGAGGAGCAAAGGGCTGGCCAAATGGAAAGTCTCAAAACATCAAGTGGACTTGAACAGGAAAATGTTCAATTGGCACTCTGCCAACCTCCATGAGATCCTCCCATGATGTCCAACGGCCTTGTTCAAGGTCAAAGTAGGAATCCTTGGTGAAAGTTCTGAGGTCTAAGATTTTAAATGCTGATGCTGCTTGGACTCATGAGCAAATGTGGATTGTGCCCCTCTTACATGTTCCTTCAATACATGCCGCAGTCAATAACGCGCAAAGCGGAAGACAAACTTCAAGGGACTCACAAAATCGACTGAGCCATACAATGGCAAACAACCTCTGTAGAGTCTTAGAGAAATGCAAATGGCAAGGAGGAAAACCTCCCCATCTTGAAGCTAGTGCTCAAACGACCCAGCTTGTGAGTCTCTGAGAATGTGTTTTGCAGAAAAAGAAAAAGCGCTAGGTGCAGAGGGCGTTGGCCCCAGAACCATTTGACACATACATAACCAATTCAGCTGATCCACTTCATCGGTGGGATGCGCATACGGTGCTTTGTTCAACCACTGCAAATACCTGAGCCTGGGTTGCTATATTGTTCGCAAAAACTTGAGTGTACGCCGTACGCAGGGTCGGTCACAAGCGACCTCATATCAATGTCCATTTGTCGCTTTGCAAACGTTGGAATCACCAAGGCTTGGCAGGCAGGTCGAGGATGCACTCTTGATTTATCGTTGCCAGCAAATGCTTTGAAGAAGAAATTTGAAGAGGTTGGACGGGTGGAATGCTGGAACGAACCGTCTACACGAGCCTCCATGAATGCCAAGCATGCAAATGCAAAGCACAGCATTCTCTATGCCCACGACGTTGGTCTGGGATGCACTTCGCATTTTAGGACGTTCAGTCCAAACACCCCAAAAATGAGAATGTATAAGCTTCCAGCAAGCGCGCGCTAAACAGGATGAGGCTGCGGCAAAGAGAGACTGTTTTGGAAGGACCTTTTGTGCGAGCTTCTTGATGAACTCGTCAAACTCCGTGCGACCTGGCCAACCATTTGGTTTCAACAAACTAATAGAATAGAAGAGTGCGGGGAATGTTATCTTGCGCACCTTTCTCATCCAAATGGCCACCCAAAGACCATGTCAAGCAGAAAATGTAGATGTTCTCAACCTGAATGCTAATCTATCAACAATCTTAGATAGCTGCACAACATGTCATTCGGCTCCCGGCCAAGTCGATAGGAGTTGTTCCTTCATCAAAAATGGAATCAAAGAGCCGTGTGAACTGCACCTGGAGCCGTGTGCCATGCTTTTCTAAAAGCACAAGAGCATGAAGGCACAGCATGGAGAGCCCATCATGCAGCCATGGCACCACAGAGTCCATACCCATCAAAGAGCGGTGGATGAAGCCACTCAAAGGTGCCCCGATCTGATCGCCCTGGCTGGTAAATGTTCCCAAAACCCTTTGACATGCGGAAACAGATTAGTTCCAGCTATTGGTTTCAGATCACCTTCTATTCAATGAAAGAAGGAGATCACTGCACCTGACGTCCTTCAAAGATGTACCTTGGTCCACCACACTCTGCTCATCACGAGTGCAAAAGTTTGTGATGCCAAGATGCAGAATCAATTGTGGCACATACTTCTCGTACAGATCCTGCACGGTGGTGGAGAAAGAAATTGTTTGGGTGGCAAGTTGAGGATCTCCTCCAGCGATTCCCGCAGTTTCTCGGTTTGCTTCAGCCGTTGCCAGCGATCATAGTAAGGGCCGGGACCAAGATTCTTGTCATCGACCTGACTATCAAAAGCAAACCGAAAGGGGCTGCATTGCAACAGCACGGTCAAGAATAAAAATGCCCTTGTTTTCTTGGCAAGTCTTGACTTGAGGCCATTGCATACAACATACCACAGCGACTCACAGTGGCTGGAGATGCATATTGAAGGTCGAAGACTTCGAAAAGCATTGCGCAGTGCTTCCTGGGCGATATCTGTAGTCAACTGTACTCTTGCTATTTGCCAAATAGCCTTCCAGAATCTTTAAGCGTCGGAAGAGGTGCTTGCGTGCGCTTTGGAGCCTGGGTGCTGGTGCTGCCAGATGCGTATGGCCGTGTGCGCTTTGGAGCTTGCATGCTGGTGTCGCTGCAGGTGCTACTCCAGGGTGCTACTGCGATGCCTATCTTTGGACATAAGCCGCTAGCTTTTGCTCTAGAATGCTGTGCTATTGAACTTGTTAAAAACCGGCGAAAAATTAGCAGTCTGTTGGCGATGTCGGCTATGCTGTCCGAGTGAATCTGCATTATTGACATCGTGTGCGCTTGCCCCTGTGGCCTTCCGAAAAGAGAAACGAGAAAACTGTGAGTTATGCTGTCTGAATGGAACCAATACTGGCACCCCAAGTGCTGCTGAACTAACGTAGATGCTAATCCTAAACTGATCTTTCTTACTTGCAGCTACCCCTTGCGTTCCACTCTTGCACCTCGTTGTTTCCATGACCTTCTTTTCCTTATGGTACCCTTCTTCTGACGCTTTGAGCGCTGCTACGTTCTTTCCCGGGGTGGCTTCGCCGCAAAGCGGTGTGAATATCTTTTGCTATCCGGGTTCTATGCTGGCGAAATGTTGATATGAATGCACAATATGCTGTAGTATACTGATATCAAATCCTGCAAATTTAGTGAGATACCAAAAGGATGATCGTCATCAAAGACTTGCGTTTGTGACAATTGAGATCTTGCATTCCAAGCATCTCGAGTCGAATACGCTCTCCATTTGTCAGAGTCAGCAGTTTGTTGTCATCCATGACGGAATTCATATTCTCGATCCAGATCGCATCGACATCGCCATCATAGAGAATGTATCGCCTTCAAAAGTCTTGGCCACTTGGTGCGCTTGGCTGCGAACCTCCCACATCTTTCAACCCTAAGGAAAGTCTGTAGGGATTACAAATGTACTTGGGTGTCCTTTCTCAAACATAACAAAAAACGGAATAAAACAAGAGGTTATCGACTCTCGAGTTGGTCGTGTGTGTGCACCTGGTGTGAATGAAGTCCCTGCATTTGACACTTGCGTTTGGTCATTGGCACAAATTACCTCACTATATATATATATATTTGCCAGCGCCTCTGTTTATGGGCCTTCAACCCTTTCTGTTGCCCTGAATTCATACAATTGCAAATTGTTTGTGACCATACCAAGCGTACCCAAACTCCGGACAAGTCAAACAAGACTCCTGCAAGGTTTGTCAGCGGGATGCGGCTGGTTCATCTCGCGGAAGATCTTTGACAACAGCCTCGAAGAACGCACAATCGAAACAAGAGTGGTTGGACACTTGAAACAATGGAAGACTCTTCCAGGAGCAGTGCCCATCTGTCCAGTCACGAGTTTGCGGATCGAGGACACCATAGAGTTCCTTGGAAGATTCTTTCAGCGTTTGCTTCCGGGTGAAAAAGATTGCAAGATGAGATCGCCTCAGTAGTGATTGCTTTTGGATTCAGTGGAAGCAATGTCGTTGGCAAGTCCAAGGCCGTCTTCTGTGCCTCGCAGTGGCAAAAGCTTCAGTAGGTTGGAGGCCATCGCTAGTAGGTTGGAGGCCGAAATTTACTGAAGCAATAGAGATGTGTGCGTGGCCACGTGGCCTCTGCCAGGCAATTCAATACCACAGATTTGCCACCACCGGTTGGTCCCACGATCATTGTAGAGTGCCTGGCCACAAGCAGAAAAAAGCTTGCTAATGGCAAGCATCAAAAACAACAACTTGACTTGAGCACATCAATAGGTGCAGGTGGATGCGATGTATAGTCAAATGTGTCCACAGTCTAGGAAGAAGCAGAATAGACTGAATTGTTGCATTTCAGTTTTATCATGCAGCCGCAAAAGTAAACCCAAAGAATATGCGCAGTAGCAATAGCCCCGATCTTTTCCATTCCTAACTTGCTGTGGCACGGAACTTTGTTGGGAACCTTCTCAAGCTGACCCAAACCCTCCGCGAGTCCATTGGCTGAACACACGCGGACAATCGTGGCCTAGTGAGCATGGTCTCATACAGCTGCATCACTTTATCCACCTGCAGCTGGTAAATGTCCTGCCAGAGATGAAATGCCATGCAATGGCCATGCTTTTGCTTCAAATCACTTCCTCTTGAGTTGCAAAAAATCAAGGATCTGTACATTCTGAAGAGAATGCCTCGTACTTGGAGTGCATTTGGTTGTCGTCAAAGTATTTCATGATGGCTTCCTAAGGTCTGAGCCGGTGCTTTCGAAATGAATGGGGGCTAAGGACTAAGGCCCTGTCTTTCAGCTTCGGGTTGCCCTCTCGCGGCACTTTCAGGCCAGGGAAAAGGTCATTGAGAAGCCCTTGGAAAAGTGGAACGTCCTTCGCAGCACTGCTTCAAGCACCCATTGCACGGAAATGCCACAGGCTTCTGTGGAGAGTGGACATTTTGGTCCTGCTTGACGAACTTGGGCATGTTCCTCAAAGTGTTCATGCGTTAAAGACCTCCCCTTCATACATTTTGCCCTGCTCCGTTCCCACATGTGACTGGTTCCCAAACACGTCTTCTTAAACTGCTTGCTTCCATGGAAAACCTTGTCTGCAACATGAGTGATGCTTCAAACACTAGTTCAAACGAAGCTAAACACCGGTTCCGAGTCGCATATCGCGAAGCGCTCGCATCAGCACCTGAAGTCATTCAAGCTGCAATTCTCAGTAAGTAAGAAACCCAGAGCGAACCTTGATCAGAATCAAATAATTACCATCAAGACTTTCTCAATGCCCGCCGCTGCCTTGTCTTCTGGAAGATCTCCAGCAGCTCTCTTCAAATCACCAGCCATCACCAGGACAGACTTCAATGCTCGCAGTTTGAAGTCCTTGGATGTAAACAGCAAGCAGCTTAAGGTGCAAGCGCCAATTCTTCCGTGTCAAGAATGTCAGTGGTTAGTCCAGAGGAGGTGATCGGTGGAATTCCTACCAAGACTAGACAAATCCGAATGTGCTAGTTCGACTCCTGAAGAAAAGGAAACATGGATGTCATTCGCCTCATAGGAATTCACCAGCTGCAGAAGAATGTAACAAGTACCAAGAAACATAGTGATACTGCTTTGAGAGCTGACCCTGTGAAAGAGCATAAAGCACAGTCATCTTCTTTGCCAAGACCTCAAAACTCTCAAAACCGCAGGATGTCCACTGTCAATGTCTCAAACCAAGTCACGCCTCAAGCCTTGCTGATGTTAAAACTGGACAGAACCACATGATCCGTGCCTTCGCCATGTTGAAGCCTTCAGACATCAGCATGTTCTCACCTTGCCAACGCCAACATCCAGCCAAAAGGAACGGAAGCAGCCCTTTCACAGAACCAGTGTAGAAAAAAACAGACATCATCATGTACAAAACTGCAAAGATTCGAAAGCAGTGCAGTTATTCTAAGTTCTCTGACAAATCATCAGCAGGTCTGGCACGATCATTGTCACAGGCCGGAAAAGGGCCTGTGTTCCACGATGCAGTTGCAAACTGGCTTAAACTTGATTCAATGCATTTGACAACCTTCAAGTTGTCCGGCAGCTCTGATCTTCCGGCGTAACCCGGATTCATTGTGATGAAGTAACCTTGATCCATGATCTGTGGATGCAAAAACTGTTGTGACAAAGGGACAAACCAACTTTGCTGGCTTTCCTGAAACACATCAGTGGATAGGGTGCCTACCAATCGTCGTCTTCAGTGCGACATCTCTGCCAAGCATCTCAACTGTCTTCTTTCCTGCCTCAAGCATACAAAAATATATTATTGTACCCTTGCATTGCAGGGCCCTCGCACTGGTCTCCAAAGTGCAAAGTTCTCAACAGCTTGCTCCGAGGCTACTGACATTGAGGCCATTCTGAATGGTCTTGATTTGCGCGGCAACCACGGACAGCACCTTTTGTCAAGGGGGGAAGGTGCTCCAAGGTGAACAAATTCTGGCATCAAGGTGCTCCACGTGCTTCGGTTCCAAGCCTCAACATTGATGCGGTTGAACTCATCGAAGCAGCCCCAAAACCCTGCAGGTGTTTGTGAATTTGAATTCGATACAAACATGTCGTAGTGAAGAAACCAAAACAAATGAGTCTAACAGTGGAAGGTGTCCTGTCTCTGAGAGGCCGCTGAAGATCACGCCCATGGCTCTGAAATCCAGGCCATCACCACAGTTCGTCACAACGCAAGAGATCGCCAATGACTTAGCCAAATCCTTCGGTCTCAAAGGCTCAACTGGCGAAGTGAACATCAGTTATCAACCATCTCCTTTCTTTTCTATTGTTCCTTTTAGCCCGCTCCTACTTATATAATTGAGTGATATTAAGTGGGCGCCTGCTTAGTTAAGTAAGTGACAAACATGTATGCTGCTACATATGGACGCAGGATATGATAGCTCGACGCAGGATATGATAGCTCGGGCTCGCACTAATGATTTGGTTCCTAGACTGTTAGGGAAACGTATCATGAAATGTTTCAGCCATCTCCTTCACGGTCTCAGTCTTGCCGGTTCCAGCAGGACCAGCTGGAGCACCACCCATGTTGAAAGTCAGTGCGGTTGTCAAGGTCATGACCTCAAGCAACTCTCCAACGCTCAGTTCAGCGAGGCTTTGACACCAATGTGTTGACACAGCTGTGATACAGGTGTGTGTGTGTGTGTGTCCTCAAGTGATTCAGCTGCAGAAGTGCATGTGCTGTAGATTCTTCGATTCCTGGACCAGCTAAGGCAGCCGCACAGCGATCAGTCAAGGGTGTGATGACAAGGCGGCCGTTCAGCCCCTGGCATGGGACAGTTTGATGCAAAAGCAATGAAACGTAGTCAGAGTAGTCAGAGAAACTGTTTTTTGCATTTGCCACCTGGTACTCATAGCAGTACTTGAGCTGGCCCGTGCATTGTCTGATGGCCACCTCAGCTCACATGGCCATGAGTGGCCATGAGTGCCCCCCTCATTTATAGGAACATCTCACCTTTTTTCCCAAGGATCAAGCATCATCCATCTTCCGGTCCCAGTAGAATCGAAGCCTAGACACGTTCTTTGATTCGTCTTGAAAGTGCGCAACACTCTTGTGCAGCAGTGAGGACTGACCATAGCAAGACAGCCATTTTAAAAGGGTTCCTGACGAGATAATGCAAGATCACGGCGTTCAAATCATGTCTAAAGATCTCATCCGTCCAAGTGGCTGAGATTCCCATGCAAACTCCTCCTTGTTTAGGATACCTTGATCAAGAAAGAGGTGCAAGGTTTGACGAGCATCACCAAGCCACACCACGCAGACTCTTCAACAAACGCACGCTTTGAATATGTTTTGATATGCGGCAAATGTATATTATTAGTAGTAGCATTTCTAGCACCATTAGTACACCTTAGAAACATTTTGCTCACTAACATCAGACAAAATGCTGTCGCGGACAAAGCGGTCCACGATATCACGCGCATGCACGTCCAAAATGATCAAGGTGTTCACCTCAGTTCCGTGTAACATTATCCTCCCATAGTGCAAGAAGTAAAGCACCTGGCCTTCTTCCTCTGCAGCTTGTTGATGGGTGAGCGTACAAAGGCAACCAAGTCCTGCAAACTCTCGCTTCTGAGTGATCTGTCTTTTCGTTTGTGGGTCAACGTGTTTGTTTGTTTGTCAAGTTTGGTGCCGATTCTGAATGTCCTGAACCTGCTGGTTTTCCTTCTTCAATTCATTCTTCATTGCATTCTTGTCACCTTCTGCCACCTTCCTGAAAGCATCCTGGCATGCAGAGCTTGCAAGACTTTCTGCCCTTCACTTCATGCACCACTGGAACAAACTCTGAACCAGGACAACCACTGGAATTGGTTAATAAAGCTGTCGGCTGAAAGTAAAACGAGACAGTCGTCCCAAGATTGCCTCGACTTGCCAAGTCCACCAAATTTGGGTTCCCAGGATGGCCACCATTCCGATGTAGTTCTGAATCCATTCCATGCGCTCCTCACACATTCTTTACTGAAATGTCAGCAAGACCGAGACCGGCAACAACTTCTTGGCTGAAGACTTGAGATGCGTAGTAGTACACCTGCCAAAGGCATCGATATTGTAAAGCCGTGGATACATCTGGTCCTTTGCCATGTCAAAAAGGCCCCGGATGGCTACTAGGCTCAACTCAACAAAACAGCCGGAGATGCAGCTGCTTTGGAGATCCGTTGCAGGGTGTCTTGCATCTGCTCGTCCACTGTGAGCATCCTTAAGCATTCAGTGACTTGAAAAAGCTGGGAATATACTTTTTGGTTTGGAAAATACTGCCTCACAATGCCATTTTGTATTGACATGTAGGGCTCAGGCCAGTCTTCAACAGCTCCTTCTGCCTCAGTGTCAAGCACTCCATCAGGTCGAAAGGCTGGGAACGATCAGCAGCCTTCTGAGCTTGGTGAAAGCGGAAGTGTTCCCCTTCATCGGAGTACATCCCCACCACTGTCTGCAATGGGAGAAGCACGATGAATTAAACTCCCGCAATGAAAGGATTGCAAGATACATCAATGAAGCAATGCACCAATGCCGCACCTTTCCACGGCTGAATTCCAAGGTTTTGCAATTGTCAAAGAGCTTCAGCCTGCCATCGAATCATCACCATGCACTTCAAGGATGAATCCAAAAGACCAAAAAGTCCGCTCAAAAGTACGCCAAAGGGACATATGCGGCTGAACTGCCTCAGGGCAAACAGAATCAAACACACAACAAAAGGAGTAAAAAAGGCCTTGTCTGTGTCGCGCTTTCAGTGCGGCAATATACATGCACGAGCCTGCGCATCGCTTGTACCAAGGATGCTGAGAAGCTCGTCATCTGAAATCAAGTAGAACCGGGGGAATGCAGAACGCTTTGTGTCCAAATAGTCCTTCGCTGACACGCTGGAGGCAACTTCTAGGAAACTCAGGCAATATGCACCTTTGCTTTTACTGTTGCTTTTACTCAAACGCAGTCCGTCAGCGACTTCTGGATCCTAAGCCAAGCGCAAATGAGACAGGTCGTATATGATGCAAAGACTGCAAAAATACAAACCAGCACCTGTTGTGCTCTATAGCAGTCAAGGCAAGCGCCGATCAAACTCAGAAGTCAATCCCTTGAACTCCTCTAGGCGTCCATCCTGCGAAGAATAGCGAGAGCTATTTGTTATCAAAGACTGGATCCATTACCTGCAACATCCTGCAATGCTTGCCATTCTCAATCCATAGAGTCACACTGCACACTTTGAACAATACAGCATCTGTTGTCCTGGCAGCAAGCGGAGAGAACCTGTGGCGATGCCTTCGCAAGTAAACAAAAGCAAGGCAACATACAAGCAGGTGCAAGCAAATGCAACAGTTCCAAGGCTCTCAAAGTGCTTCAGAAAGGATCAGAAAGGATTCAAGACTTCTCACAAGTCTAGCAACTGCCTGTGTCATTTGCATGATCTTCACGTAGTTCTTGTGGCATCTACCGAACCTCATGACTCCAAACTCTGTTGTTTTGACATCCGAACACCTTTCACGCATCACATTCAACTGCATCTAAGCTTGTAGCTGTTTTGCTTGCTCCGGCAGCTGCATACTGATGTCCTGAATCGTTCGGCAAGTGTGCCTGTAACCAAGCCTCAATAGAAGCCAATGCAGTGGCAAAATTCTTGCCGAGGCACTTCAGAGTCCAGGAAAATGCTCTCCAAGTACATCCATTTCCTCAATCGGAATGCACTGCTTTCTGGAAGAAAGAAAAGACCGTTCGCTCATGCTGATGTGAACACCTAAGAACCAGTCCTCTGAAGTACCATCCATGCATCAAAAACCTGAGAAAGTCGATCGAAAACTGTTGGGAAATTGGTTGGCCTGAAAATGCTTTTTGGCTTTCGTTGTGGGAAGCAAGTGGTCAGTATTGTGTGAGCAAATAATGCTGGAAATGCAAGTGTGTGCACATAGAACTATTGAAATCATCAAAGTGTTGCGAAAAACGATACCGGAACAATTGAAGCAGTGTGCAATCTAAATTAAAAATGGAAGGCAACAAAGTTAATACTTCCCGAATTCTTGGTGGCTTGAGAGAATCCAATCTTGCCAAGGAGAGTGATTCTTGGTACCAATGATTTTGTGAAACTATTTCTTGTTTTTTTGTGTTCATGCATACTTCTTGCGAATTGGGTAGCTCGCTCTGAAACATAAGCGAAATCGCCTCGCCCACCACTGAGAGGTTCTTCTCCCAGCGCTTGATGGTATCCAGCCTCATAGTCCGATTAAGTGGTCCATGCCAAGAGTTGCAGCAAAAACAATGGCCTCCAACCTATTAGCGATGGCCTCCAACCTGCTAGCAATCGCCTTCAACCTAATCCTGTCCCAGGCTGAATGCTGAGAAGAGCACAGCTTCATTGCATACTTGGATGAACTCATTGACTGTAGTGTGAGCACGTGGTCATCCAGAGTCTGCTTCCTTGATGAATACGGCTTCAACTTTGGTTCATTTTCTTGTGCTCACAAACCGCCAAGTTGCATCTCTTCATTTGGCAAGAGAACATAGCCTGGCAAAGAGCACCAAAAGCACCACATGTCTTTTGCAGGTACACTTGTTCTCACTCGCCTCTGGGATTTGAAGGCTCTCCTTTATACCTGGACACCCAGCGATCGCGAACCAAAAATTGCATTGATGGTTCGTTTCATCAGCTGATTACGCCAACTGCAGATGGGGCACGGCTTCAGCCCCAAAGGCATGTTGCGCCAAGTACTGTCAATCTGCCAAGGCAAGTGAGCAGTGCATTTTCACTACAAGGATGTTTACATGTTTCCTCATGCCTTAGCAAGCTCGCTTTCGATCTTCAGCTCGTTCTGCGCCTTTGACAGTGTTTGAGGGGCAGGATTTCAGAGTTGGAAACTAGTGCCCCGAGCTGCTGTCACCACCAACTCATTGACTTCGTCAGGAAAGCGGTGCAGTTGCATTGCGAAAACTGCATTCAGCGTCATTTTCTTGATGTCGAAGTCTTCCTCGAAACATGGAGACTTCATAGAAGAGTGCCGTTGCTGCCATTGCTGGCTGGCCTCTTAGAGGTCCTTAATTAGGGGTCTTGGGGTCCGGCTGTTTCCACTTCAGCCAGTGTCATCAACTCCTCCCAGTGCCCTTTTCGGATGGCGTCACTCTTCAGCTGCTGGATCAGTGGAACTCCAGCCTAGGCAGGGAAAGCTTCATCGCTTTCCGTGTCTTCCAAGATGTCCTTGCGTTGCTCGGTTGTCATAAACCCCCACGCCTTGAAGGATGTGACAACTTCCTCCAGCTTCTGAAAAGTTGGAAGCTCGCCGAGTTCCTTCTGCTCCTGCAGGCACAAATAAACAAAGTGTGCCTAGAAACTCGAGGCATGGCATTCAGAAACAGTGCGCAAAGCTACTAGTCTCCTTTGGCATTCTTCTGACTTGCTTATCAAAGTCTTCAGCTCCCTTTGTCAAAGCATTGATGTCAAACTTTGTCCAAAGTGCCTTGGCAGTCGTCAGACTTCATTGAACCAAAACCAAGTCATACGAGCGCATTCGGGGTTGGCACACAACCACCTGACTCTGAATGTCAGTTCTTGATCAGCTGCCACATACAAATAACTCGCCAAGAGTCTTACCAGCATTTAAAACAGCAACTCGAGAGGGCTAAAGCCAGCACTGGTCAAGAACCCAGCTCTTGAAACTCGCTTTTGTCAGGATGCGTTGCTGAACTCGTTGACCATGGAGCTGTGGTCTATGTAAACTTTGTAGATCTGCTGCAGCAGTCGCAAATCCTCGAACAAGTAAACAAACCCCCACATTTTAACTCAGAATGATGTCATTTATCATATCAGGCTGTAAGAGGTCCTTTTCAAGCTGTAGCAGCTCGGGATAGGTCTGAATGGGCAGGTTGAAGAGCGTTTGAGCTTTCACCAGGTCCTGACGCTACTGACAGACACGTTGTTATTTTCGCGGGGAAGCTGGGAAAGGTAGCTATAGGTAAGCTGCAGGCTTGGTAGAAACTACTATTAGCTGGTTCTCTATTCAGCGACAAAGACAGGGACGAAGGGTTCTTTGGAACGTTTAAGTATGACTGCTTGACAGTCCTCACGCTTCCGCTGGAATTGTTTCACATTGATGTCATACTTCTTCATCAGTTCCTTTGCGTATGCAGGTTGGGAGAACTGTCATTGAATGTACTGCATCGAGTCCAAACCTCCGATCTGATACCAAGGTTCTACTCCCTCCTCTAGGGAGACGTCTGAACCAGGTCCTTCTCTCTTGAACACCTGACAAGCAAGTGATGAACAAAGTCGTTGCTTGGAAGTCAAACAATGTCGAACCACCCAACCCCGGCCTGAAGCAGCTCCTTGCACTCCATTGAGAAGTCTTTGACCTGTTACTAGCAGAATAGGTTGCAGACCACTAAGACCTACACTTAGGGTTGGCCGGCTTAGGTGTTTTGGAGTCAAGCCTGCTCCTGCGTCACTTGCGAAAAGTGCTCCTTCACCTCAGCCAGGCGCCATGATAGAAAAGGCATTGGGCATCTACTTTTGCGGATACATGCACATACATACGGTGTCTTGGCTCTAGTGACTCTAGTGTTTCGTTTCGTCACCCCAGGTATTATACAGCACGGTTTACCGAAACATCAAGCCCAAAATGAGAATGGAAAAGCAGCAGTAGAGCTCGCTCCTTTTTGAAGGGTGGTGTAGTTTCTTCTCTGGCGGTCTGTGTTCGAAAACATGCCAACTCCCTGCATAAGGGACCCAAAAGGCATAATGTTGGGCGAAGAAATGCCCTGAAGCAGGTCCACGGGTGTCGCACAAAGGGTGTAAAGCCGTGGTAGCGGGCCCCTCAGCAGCCACGGTCTCACAGGGTTCGCAGCCCTAGGCGTCTACCCGACGTGACGTGGCCTGGCCCAGCACAAGAGTCATCGCCCCGTGCAATTTGCGGGCCACTGGCGTTTTTTGTCGGATTTGATTCGTACCACATGAGTTTGGCCAAAGCAGTGTCCAACGCCTAGCAAGTCCACCTGCTGGGAGACCATCCCACTGGTCTGAGCAGAATTTTTTGGGGATGCGCTCCGTCAAAAAGATCCCAATCAAAAAGGTTCGTCATGGCTGGGCAACCAGAAAGGCACTGAAGGTTGCAAAAGGAAGTCGAAAGGAGGTAGCCTAGGCTACCCCAAAATGTTCAGTTGGCACTGTGGTCACCTCAGTCTTGAGCCATGGTTCCCACTTTGGCTAATGAAATGTATTCAGTCAACATTATATTATGCTTTCCGCATGCTCAATGCTCACGTAAAAAGTAGAATGATATCGATTTCAGGCTTGTCCTCCCTATCTGTCTTGGGAACCGGCAAGATGTTCAAAGCACAAACTAATTGTTGAAAAAACTTCACAAGTCATGCTGAGTGTCCACACCCTGACCATGCGCCGGTCTTTTGTCAAAGCTTCGTCCTCCAAGTGGGGTTGTTTCTCATTCATTCTACCACTTGCACTCTAGTTTCCACAAAATCTAGGAACCAAATGAGTAGTGTGAGAGTGTTCCTGTCCGATCGGTCCTATCGGCCTACTTATAAGCTTACTTGTAAGCTACAACTTGTAAGCTACCTACCACCTCGCCGCGTGCGCCTACTCCCCAAAAGGCTGTAAAAGAAACACGTACATATGCTGTCCTTCAAAAGGCGCCACATTTCGTTCAGAGCCTTTGCATCTTCGTATTCCTCCCCAAGGCCAGGAGCTAGTGCGGAAAGTGATGGAAAGTGTTTGTGCAGCTAGAGCTCTTGGTGAGTACTTTCTGAGCCCAGCCTGAAGCTCATACTGACAGTTGTACAACTCGAGGGTGCGGTACCTTTCTCTGACGTCCTGTCTTCAAGGTTTAAGCAAAGGCAAATCTCATGATTAAGAGTGCAAGCTAAGTAGCTTAAGAAGCAAAGCGGATCAGCCATGTTCCCAAAACAGCAGTCCTGCATGCGCAATTCCATGTCCATAGAGACAGACAGGATCTTGGAAATGATGCTCAAAATGAACTTCCTGGCGCAATAAGTAGACTCTTAATTATTCATGCACTCTGTTGTTCACTGTATAATGCAAGCTGAAGGTACAGCTTGTCCAAAGAGTCAGGCGTCTCTTGCAAGTCATCCTAGGCAAATGCGTTGAGCCAAATACGCAAATCATACTGCTCTTCTATGCTAGCACAAATATTTGCAAATGATTGAGGAATGCACCCGGAACTCCGTGATTTCGGCTTGAATCTTGGTCAAATCCTGGAGAAGTGCTTCAGCAGTCACAATGTCTGAAGTCGGCTCACAGGTGGCAGCATTGGAGATGCTACCCAAAGAAAATTAGCTGCCTTGTAGGCAAGCTGGCGGAGGATATCACCGTAGCCAGCAACCCATTCCATCGCCTGCAGAAGAGTCGGCAACTGCCAACATGGGAGAGCACACTGATCATACTCTGCTTATGTGTAGCCTTTTGAAGTGCCTACCAAGTGCCTTCGGTCCCTTCTTCAATCGAAGTGCTATCTCATTGGATCTTCAAAGAAACATACAAGTGAGAGGAAACCTAAATGTCTGGCAACAAACATGTTGGTGCTGCTAGGCCTGGGTTCGGATGGCTGCGACTATGGAAGTGCAGTCAATTCTCACAAATCCAATGTCCTGCCAAGCCAATGTCTAGGATCTAGGAGTCTAGCATTCTCCTCTGGACAGCTTCAGATAGTGAAGGTTTCCACAAGTCTAGTCAGCTAATGCTGAAGCCCATGCCAAGCTGGCCGTAGGGACCTTCGGACTTCAGACCTTTGCTTTGGCCGCACAATTGCCGTAGGTCCTTCTCTGGTGGATATGCTGCCAAACTGTCGGCTAGGCTCTTGTAGACCTTGGCTAAGTCCACTCCACCATCTAAACATCAGCCTGTACCTAGCTTTTCTAAGGAACCCACACAAATGTGGGCATCGAAGAAGACAAAGGGTGGCCGCTTCTCTTTGACCTTCTCCAAGTCTTGCTTCCACTTTGGGTCCTTGGACTGGGAACTCAGAACTATCTTGGCTTACTAGTAGCGTCCTTGCTCCTAGTAGCGATGCCCTTTGCTCCTAGTAGCGAACATTGTTCCTACTAGTAAGGCACTTGTTACTAGAAGCGATGCACTTGTTCCTAGTGTCACAGTCTCTTCAGTTCCGAGCCCAGAGTTTCCACCGCTCTTCGTACCGCTTCCAGTGGCGCAAGAACTTGTCCTTGGTCGTGGAGGTGACTGCACATCCAAACTCAAGAAAGTCCCAAGCCCTTACATCTCTTGTGAATCGTTTGTCTGAGAATCAATGATGGAGAAAATCTTCTGGATGCTGTTCTGAATGTTGATCGTCATCTCGAATAGTGCTGGATTGTCCTGCAAACTGCTTTGTGGACGATTTTCCACCAACATTGTAAACTGACCTGACATTGCACACCAATTGCATCAGGCACCTTGACATCTCGATAGAATGTGAACCTCAAAACGGTAGCTTGGTACTTGCACTGCGGTGGTGGGTTGCGTCTCTCGGCTACTGACATTTGCTGCTGCTCGTCCTCTTGGCCAGGCTGTGGGGGAACCATTCGGCAGGTCCCATCCTAAGACAATGAGCTGAGCTCGTGACAACTGGCAAAAAAACTACTATTCTAGCTAGACAGTGCAAGAAGCTTTCTGACTCAGTCTAGCACCATCCATCGCACAAACAGTTTGGCCGACTGAATCGTGTTCTTGAGAAGCTTGCTGATCAATCTGAACACCTGAGTTGTCATATCAAAGAAAATGCAGTGAAGTGAAGCATCATCCTCTTCATGTGTCTGGAACCAGCACTTTCAAGCGCCGTCACTGCATCTAAAATGAAGCCAGTCTCCATCTCAGGCCAGGGCAGACTGCAAGGCTTGATCATCAATCTCTGGGCCACTGCAATCAACTTTCACTCGCAGCAAAGGAGGCCTCAAAACCAAGCGGTCATCCAGCATGCAACTGCGAAAGCATCCGCCACGTCCGCACCTTTTTCGCTCACCAGCACTGAAGAGCGTTTGGAACGTACTCATGCCTGTAGGTGAGAACAAGGTGAAAACCTGGACAAACAGCCTGTGGTCTCAGCGAAAGGCCTCGAAGCAGCATCGTGGTAATTGCATTGAAGATCCGACGCTCCCAGTAGTGATAGTACCTTCAAGCTGCAATGCTTCTCCAACGAAAACCTCATTGAATGATGCAAAGCGCACTCCGCCATGGATGGTGCCATTCCTGTCTTTGTTCCAGCGGTTGTCTCCTCGAACCCGGTGTGAAAAAACTCAAGTGACTGCCAGCTGCGCTTTCAACTTTCTAGATTTTCCGTTGGCGCCTCAATCTTCACCAGGAAAGGCCCAATGGAGTCGTACTTTTTCCTTGGAAAGTAGGAATTCCTATCACCATGTTACACTGTGGGGTAAACCTTTGGAACACTTGGCATGGTGTGACAATATGCGACAGCTGTGCAAAAAAAAACGGATGAGGAAAGGGTCACAATTGGAGCAGTCCATAGCAAAGAGTTTGTTCTGCCGTGGCAGTGACCTTCTTTCCCGTTCTCGAGTTTGCTAAACACTATGGACATCAGGTTTGCTTTGACTGATGGCATCTCAGGCGATCCCAGCATCTGTATTCTTGTGTGCAGATATGCAGAGTTTATATGTGTGTATCTATATATATATATATTTATGCTCAAGTGTAAGCCTTTTTTGGCTGCACAACCAAAGGTGATAAAGGTTGTGGTGCAGTGACGTCGAATTCAATAGGCATTTGGAATTACGAAAATCTCAGACATCTTTACACCACAGCACACCCGCAAGTGGAGTGAATTGAGTTCAAGAGAACAGTAGGATAAAGAAGAAGACACCACAACCAGCCCAATCAAAGAGGGGTCGAAGAAAGAGAAAAGGGAGAACACCACAAGCACCCCGCCCAAAGACACCTCGTCATTTGCGAAGCGAAGTAACCAGAGACAGAAAAGAATTGCGAAAAATTGCCAAGAGCAGAGAAGAAGTAGTGGAAAGATGAAGAGAGATCAAAGTAGCCCGGGCGTCATCCAAGTATTGTCTGGCAGTACGCTGGTCTTTCCACATTCCTTGAATCATGACAAAATCAAGGGCCTTCTGAGTTCCATAAAAGTGCGTCGCACCGCCACGGCGGAGGCTATAAGGGACAAGGTGCAGAGAAGCAAGGTCAAAGAAATTGCAGAGGCCTGAAAAGCAAGTCCTGAAATAACTGAGAGAATAAGGCCAGACCTCCCCCGTGAAGCCAAGCTTTGAAACCAAGAACGAAATCAAAACAAAAAAGTTCTCATCGGAATGCGCAAGAAATTGTTGAAACTGCTTGGAGGCCTTGGTGTAACCCAGATTCAACACGACCGATTTGGAGGTCGGATCCAGTGCAAGATCATCAAAGGTCAAATTCAATGCTTCCCCAACGCGAAGAAAGAAGACGAAGGTCAGAAGTAGGGTCAACGGTAATGAATACCACTGTTGTTCTAGACAAAGTCCTGCGAGCCCTTGTACCATATTCCAAATGATCGGTGTGGCTCTCTGGGGAACACGCGATCGAGTCCAATTGGTGAACCATTGTTGCGAGGTTTGGAGCTCTTTGCGGCATCGTGGGAAGAGCCGCTTCATCCCACTCAGAACCCAACCGGCGCGTGAAAGGGGTTCTCCTTCTTGGAAAAGTGAATTAATGTATTCGGCAAGGACAAGGTCCAACGTGTGATAGCTAGCTGGATAAGGAATTGAACATGCATCAAGGTAACTCAGGAAAAGTGAAACTTCCCTCTTATAGATCCTCAATGTGCGACTGGCGATGCCCAACTCACGTAAGTGTTTTTGCCCCTCAGCCATCTCGATGCGCTTCGAATCGCCGGCTTGGTGCGTCGGCGAAGTTCCACTTCGAGGTCGTCCATAAATGGATTGGCATCACCTGGCTCACGAGGATCACTGCATTGATTCTTCTCAACAGTCGGTTCAAACGAGGGGCTTTGCTCCGACCTTTTGACATTGTAAAAAGCCGACCTGGCTGTCGATGACATTGAAAAATCTCGCGCCGAGCTGTGCAATCTCTCGCGCTCGACGGCGGAACTCGACAAGGAAGGCTGAGACTCCAAGCTACGTTGATGTGCTGCGAGCGCTTCCAGGGGTAAGACAACTTCGCCTTCCATTGCCACTTGAAGGCCGGGTAGGGCGCCATCAGGGTGACTGAGCCATCTTCAGCTGCAGCCTCAAACCGGACCTCAGTCCCCCTGACGCAGATCTCCCTCAACAGTTTCCTGAGGCGCCGTCTCTCATGACAGCTGCGTTCTGGGCCACATCTGGCCGCTGCGTTCCCCTTGTCGATCTCTTCAACGCTGCCAAAATGGCTGCTTCGGATCCCAAGTCCTCTTTTGAAGCGCTCTCTTCAATCCAACTGCATACGCTTGGCACAGGCAAGTGTATTCCGCCTCCTGCTCTGTGTCAAAGCGTAGTGCTCCCCCCCTCCTCATGGACCTCGTAGCGGAGAAGTCCTTCATGCCCCGGGGCAGGTTGGGCGATGCAAGGCTGTATGCAGCTCTTCAATGTTGCGCGGAAGGCTGGTCCAATTTGTTCTTGCCCCGCCGTAGCAGCATGCAGTAAAATAGGTGTGAAAAACATCATCTCTTGAGGCCAACTCAACTGCCTCCGGGGTTGACCATAGATGCGACCTGTACGGATGCTCAAGCGCTGCCAGGCGCTCATTGTCAAAAGCTGGCTTGAGTCCTCTAAGTGATCTCTTTGCCATTGCATTTCCACGTCGCAATTGTACTTGTTCCTGGTGGCTAAGGTGGTCGAGACCCCATGGCTTCAAGGCACTTTGCAGGGCCCTAGGCCCCGAGAGCCATCGCCCGGATGTGGTCCGAAATGGTTTGCCTCGCGCGGCTGAGAATGTCTTGCATTCAGGCGCATAACGCTCGCACGCCAGAGATGGTTCAACTTCATACGAGTCCAGCCGCTGCTTTCCATCCGCAGTTGAATAATCCCACCGGTCATCCGACACGAGCAGGTCCAGGGGAGGCTGAACTCCAATGCCCGCCATGGCCACAACCTTGGTCAAAGGATAGTTTGGCCCGCTGAATCTTTCTCCCAAAAGTGGGCAGGCGAACATGTCTCGCGCGCACCCGTGCTCGCGATTGTCTATGGCACATCTGACTGAACATACCACAGCACCACACCCAACCGGGCATGGATACTTTGATCTTCCTTCATCTCTGGTCGGGATGGGAGCGCTGAAGTCGCGCCCGCAGTTGTTGCATTTTCCATGAGGATCCGGTCCAGCCTTGAAAGCGGTTGCTGTGGCACTTCCCCCGCCAGTCGGGGAGGCATCGGCGCAACTTATCTCTGGGTCAAATCTTGCTTTCAGATTCACTTGGGCAAGCGGTGACTCCACCAACAGACACATAGTCTCATCGATCACCTCAGGCGACGGGTTGATTGGCCCCTTTCATGCCCTCTCAATGGCATCGAAGACATTTGCAATCCCCGAAAACATGGATCTCTTGAAGGTTGCCATTGATGCCGTTTTGCCTGTCCAATGTCGTAGGTAGAATTCAGACCACCAGTGGCGCGACAGCAACGCCAGGCTCAACTCGATGTAGCGAAGCTTCTCTCCCGTGAGCTTCAAAACTCCCCGGCGGCAGTCGAGCTGAATCAGCTGCTTGCCCAGGTTCCTTGGCAAGCCTGCCTCATCGCAGGCTGCAATGAACTGCGAGTGGTGAGGTGAAAGCTCGTCACCTTCTCGATGCAACTCAATGTCAAGGGTCTTTACCACATGGATCTCGTCAAAATTGTCCAGGTACACTTAGACTATCGTGTAGATCTTCTCCTCCGGCAGACGGGAGCGCTTCTCAATGGAAAATTGCTGCGGAATCTTCGCCCTCTCGAACACCAGGGTTCTCACCGCTTCCTGGACCAAAGCACCTGCTGAGCGCCACCCCATCGGTACCACACAAAGAGCTGGGCGTACTTGCGTGCCTGGTGGCATCCCGAATGCGGCTGAATCAACTTTCTTGCTATAGGCTAGGTATGGCAACCAGTTGTCCGGCATAGAGAAAAGATTGAAAGCTGATTGCAGGTCCTCACTGTCAAGGTACAGCCCCTCATCTTCCTCCAACAGTATTCCAGTGAGTTGCCCGATGTATGGCAGGGTGTCTTGGGATCCGGCAATGGCTCCCATCACTGCATTAATTGGACATAGGATTGAAATGAACCGCTGGCACTTGTGAGGTTTCCCGTCAATCATCTTTTCCTTGAAAACTCCACCGGCTCCATTTGTAATCAAATGTCCTTGCCTGTCCCGCGGGACTAAGGAATCATCAACAGGCTTCATCATTCCTCGCTGGTGCGCGGCATGAACCACCTTGAACCACTCTGCGTCACTCGCGGGATGTCAGCCCTCGCTCCGGCATCTTGTCCGGCGGCAATAGCAATTTCTCAGGCTTCGCAAGAGCTTCTTTGGTTTCCTCTTTCAAGAAAGCCTCTATTGGCTAGATTCCCGCTTGACCTGGCCGCGGCCATGCGGGGAGGACTCGTTCACAGATCAAGTCCTCCATATATTCAATCGGATTTCCTGAGTAATCGAATTTCTTTGAGTTCAGTAGTTTCTCACTTTCTCCAAGACTCTTCAGTGGTGTTCCCGAGATAATGTTACTCGTCACCACCTTGGCCATCTCACTGACCGCTGTGATCTGCAACTCCGACAACCCGTCCTTGAACGGCGCGCAGATCGGTTTGCTCCAGCCCACGCAATAATGGAAATTGATGACGCACAGAATGGCCTTGATCCACATCTCATTTCTCTCCGATACACCCGGAATATCCACTGTGATATTCCACGGAGGAATGGGCAGTAGGTCGCCCGAGGTTCCGCTTTGGAGTGAGTTTTGGGGGGTTGCGCAGCCATGCAGTAGGATCGAACAAATTTCCCAGCGATATAGATGTTTCCTGAGATCTTGGAAGGTTGCGTTCTGTTTAAAAAGCTCTCTCACCGTGAGGCTCCACTCCCTGATAGTCTCACACTCGTCAACATCCAGGTTGTGAAGATTGGTTGGGCATCCATCGAGGCCATCCATGAGCTCTTCCACAATGCTCTCGTAACCTTCATCAGCATACTGTTCAACTGAAATTGTTCCGCGCTCTTTCCGCACTAGCGGTGGCCTTTCATCCTGATCCGTCGGAGGCCCGTAGGGCAGGAAATGAGCGTCGTCCTCAACATCAGTGTTGGCCGATGAAGTCATCACGCCGTGGGCGTGTCTGCCGCGTTCTCCATCTTTGATTTCCCTTTCTTTCCTTTTTCTTTTCCTTTTCCTTTCCCCTTCTCGTGGAAGTCGTTCTTCCCCTTGGTCTGGGGTTTCCACTGCTGCCCTGCTATCAGCAGTCGCATCTTCTGCTCGGTGGCCTGCTCCTTCGTGGCCATCAGCGTCTCGTCTTTCCCCACTAAGTTCACTCCCTCGGGAGGAATCAACTCCAGGTGTTGCGCACGGCTCCACGCCTGTTCGGACAGGTACAGTTCGAGCGACTTCACCCGTTGTCCTGTGATTCCGGGTTGCCGCTGGCCAGCAGGTCCAGTGCTTTGCACAGAGTCCTTAGTTCTCGACTTGTCCTCAAGTTCATCTTTCCCCGATATTGAGGGATCAGCACCGTGAGGAAGTACGATGTCGCTGTGGCTGGGGTCAGGTTTCGCTCGGTCTTTGCGCGCGTGGGCCCCTCCTGCCGAGCCAGGATCTCGCGCATCGTCCGCAGCAGTCGGGACATGTCGGGACGCCAATCGCCCCGGATGTTGCTCCGAGTACTCCTGAAGCTGCAGTTGACGCAATTTGGTGGAAGGGCCCGCCCGAAAATCCGAACCTGAATCTTCATCATCGTCCGAACTCTTTGAATCCAATTTTCCTTCTCCAAGGTGTCCCACACCAAAAGGTCCTCGATCTGCCTGCTTCTTGTTTCTTGTCGAAGCCGAGGCTTTTCGGGCCCGTTTTCCTGCTTTGCGCTTGAGCTTCTTTGCCGATCGTCCTCTCTCCTCCTCATCGGCTTTCTCTCCAGCTACCTTCCCCGCAGGGATAATCCCCATGCTACTTGAGCTGTCATTGCCCGAGTCAACTTCTTGTGGGTGTCCAAACCACAGGGGTTGAAGGTCTTTCGCCTTGGCCCTTTTCGCAGTTTTGTCACGATCTTTCTTCTTTTCAGTAATACCCTCTGCATCACGCTTCTTCTTCTTTGTCTCATCTCGACGACCTTCACCACCGTCATCTTTACCGCTGAAGGTTTTCTTCAAAGCTGCCAGCCTACCAGGGATGTCCTCGCCCGCAGGCGCCCCTGATGCGATCGGCTCCTCATCCTTTTCCCAATCGAGATGACCGGGGTCCGGCGCTCCTAATCCTCAAGCTCCTGCTGGATCGTAGGGGCCGGCGGTTGCCCCCAAGGCAGCGATCTCTCTGTCAATGTCGTCCTTCACATCAGCGCCCGAAAACCAAGCTACCCTACGGGCCAAGATATCCTCCGATTGATTGTCGCGGAAGGTGTCTGAGTGAAATTCCTTCTCACGGTGGCGCTTTGTCTTTCGACACTCACCCGCAGGTGTAAGACACAAGTGGGATACGAAGCTCCGCTTGTAGGCCTTTCCTGGCCCCTTGGCCAGCCTACCATTCAACCAGAGCCCTTCCTTCTTCTTCTCCAACATGTGGTCTATTTGCCACAATGCGGTCCCTTGTGGCTGACCATCTCCATCGAATTGTTCGAGCTCAATGTAACCTCCTTCGGCTACACTGAGCTCCTTGTAGTAATCCGGGTTCCTTGGTAGGTTGATCCAAGGACCCGGCATCACGCCCTCAGGCGGCCCTGCCGCCCGAAGGCACCCACTTCAAGCCTTGAGAACAAAACGGCATTGAGCATAAAAACTCGTGCCTACACTACGTGAGGGACACTCGTGGCAATATGTGCAGTATATTGCCAAGGAAAAGAAGGTTCTGGAACCGAAATTCCTTGCCAATTGGTCCATAGACCTTGTTGTTTGCACATGTTGATTACAGCATTTCTTGCATCATGGTTGTCTTTGCCAGTTTCAAACAAGACTGTGTGATGACATGACCTCATTCACTGCAATGTGTATTGTTGGTGCAGCAATGGACTTGAAATGTTCGGTGGACGGTTTGAAGGGTTTGATCCCCCAGGCGTCATATCTCAATTGAGTGCTTGATGGAAAAAACGAAAACCTAGTGCAGGCGGTCTCAGTCACGAAGGAACGCGAATATGCCGTGGATTGAATCTCCCTCCAAAAATGCATTCCTTCTCGGCATGCTCTAGATACACTCTGCTAGCTGGTGGGAGAGCCCACATCGCTCTCTGGCATTAACTTGACGTGGTGTAAAAGCAGGTTGCAAGGATGCACCCTCCAGAGTGGGCTTCTGGCTCTCGTTTTCTGCTGGATTGAGACAACCCTTTCGGCACTGTTCTCCGCTACGGAAAACACAAGGAAGGACTGAAAGTTCTTCCAGTGTCTTCTACCGGCAGGCCCCTGGATAAGTCCACTTTCAAATTGCCCTTGCTAAAGGGCCCTTACCTTCTTTTTTGGTTCACATCCCAAACAATTTGTTCCTGCTTTTCCTATACTTATATATATATATATACAATATACTTCAATATACACGTTCAAACGGGCGTCACCAAGTCTTCCAGCTGGGCCAATCGATGCCTGGAGACATACGATGCCCAAGTGCCAAAAGTGCCGCAAGCGCATGGAGCTGCTTGGCCAAAAGTGTGTTTGATGGCCTCTCGAAGAACTCACCAAACTCCATGTGGTCCATGACATCAATCCGATTCCAATCAAAGGGCCTCAAGCATGTCAATGAACTTAAAGTCAATAATTTGAATCTATTCAATCATCAAAAATGAAAGCGATGTAGCTCCATATTGAGCAATGACCTCACCAATGTCGCGTTCTCGATTGCGCTGACGACATTTGCGATGCGCTCCTTCAAAACAAAGTAGAAACTGCAATGATTCGTGGTAAACGATAATGATCGTGTCTGTAGCATGTTTTTTTGGGCAAATACAGCACCAAGCTTGACCGACCATCCACTCCTCACTCTTTTCGACCTGATCTCGGAAAGCTCCGCGGAACTTGGTGATGCCCTGATTTCCAGCCTGGAAAATTGCGTGAGTGTCCCTTCCTTTAGTATGTTTCTCCGTGGAAAGCAACGTCCAGCCTCAATGAAGTCTGTGATTCCCAGGGAGTTCCAGTTTAACGGCGACAAACCAGGACCTCTGAGGCCGGCTGTTGATGAATAAAGAAACGACAGACAAACAGCATAAAACAGCTCTGCTTGCTGAATACACTTCTGAGTTGAGAGTTCTAAGCAAGAAAAGCTCAATATATAGCTGAAGGTTTCGGTGCATGTCAAGATCTCGGCGCCCAGCTCAAGCACTTGTCCAGATCCAGGATTTGCTTTCTGAGCAGCTTCCTTGAGCGCTTGCATTCCACGAGGCTAAGGCTAAAGCCCTAGATAAACCTCCCAGCAAACTGGTTTCACCAAGAGGCTGTTGCACAGGAGACAAGTCACCCACAGCAGCGTTGTATGCATCGATGAGTAGATCCAATTGTTCCACAAACTCCTCTTTCAAGGTCTTTGAAAAATCTGGACTCGCTTTGCTGTTGTACATTGTACTCCATTCAACACACCTTGTATTGGTCTTGCTGAAGCGCCACATTGAGAACCTCCAAATTCAAAATGCTAAAAATGTATTCAGGCAGGAACTCTGATCTGGCATGTTTATATAACTCCACAAATAGTTGGCCCAAAAAACGTCTATACTTTCTAGAGCTGCATTTGAGCGACGGTGTGTGGCAGCTCAAAGCCACCGAGCTGGTCCAAATATTTGGCTTCGCGGATGAGAAGCTGCAACTCCTGGTGAGTCTTGACGCTGCAACTCCACTTGCTGGAGTTGTTAGAGGCAAAGAAGCTCAGGGTCCTTGGCAAAGTTTACCTTGTATGCTCCCGTCCGAGCGTCTTTGATCAGCACATTGTACCTTGTGTTCGTCCCCGTGAATTAAACAATTCCTTTACAGACTCTACAGTCGGGGTTGGACCAGAATATTGATTTGAACCTTTGAGTGTGCGAGTGATACTTCGTTCTTCCAAGGTACTTCAAGCTTGAGACAGCAAGCTCGACAGCAGTCGTTTGCCAAGCTTCAAACAGGGCCTGTTCCTTGGAAATGCAGGAACTGCACACAGCTTACTTGGCAGACTTACAAGATTCCTCAGTTGGACAACACTTTGGGACTTTTGCAAACCAGCTGCATATTCGAGGATTTCCTTTCCGAGCTCCACATACTCCTGTGCCGCATCGTCCGCATGGTGCATCTGTACTCTGTCGACAAACATCTACTGTCCGCTCCTTGCAAGCCTGTTGTCCTTCTGGAAGCTGCAATCTGGCAGAGGCAGCGGCCAGCATTGTATATAAATGTCGTGACCAAACACAGCGCTTTCATGTTCTTTTTGTCTCAAATCTTCAAGCTTTAACTGGATAAGCCAGAATCAGGCAGGCATTGCAAGTGCGGCATGGTCTTGAAAGACAAAATAGGTCGCTTGGCTCTGTGAAAAATGCTGCGTGCCTCAGTGCTCACAAATCGCAAAAGAGTCCGAATACAAACAGAAACATGCGGATACTGAATCTGAGTTTGAAGCCCAATGAATTGCCCCTGCAGTCGGTGGCATGCTCTTGGAGATTGGCGGGTTCTCCTGACTCTGCTGGTCAGAACCCTGGCTTCTTCAACTATACATTGAAAGGCTCTTGCCCACCTGGTCTCGTTGAAAGATCTCCTTCAGCTTGCCCACTTCTACACCTTGAGCCAATGCAGGGGTTGCAAGTTTAGCAAGCTATTGGCTACAGTGAGCAGCTGGCGATATCGGAGCAAAATCGCTACAAACTTCTCGTTCATCTTCTTGTTGATGCGCTCGCCTGGCCAAGAGGTGCACTTCAGGGATACTGGTATGCTCAACATCGAAAGCTGGGAATTGGACGAGACTCAATGTTCTTGAAGTTCTGAAGCAATTTGAAGGCACCCTGCCATCTGTAAGACTTTGGAAGCCCTCTAAGCGATAAGCGCTTCAGATAGCTGGGCAGTGAGATGGGCCTCTGCAGAGCGTAGGTTTTGAAAGGATCGGTTCCTTGGGTATCGAGCTTGGCTGAGCGTGGCTGAGACATCTTGTCATGGAATGGAATACCAGCAAAATTAACAATACAGTCAAAGTACAAGAACTTGATGGCTCGCTCTTCGATCACAGTCACTCTCTCTTTGAACCTGAAGCGTTCAGGCACTCCAAACAAGCCCAGATCTCCATGCTTATCAAACTTAGCGGTCAAAGCGCTTTGCGATTGAGCTTTCCCAATTAGAGTAGTGGAAGTCATCGAACACGTTCTTCACATTGCCTGATTGCAGTGACGTGCAGTGTGTGACCCTTGGCGTGTCAAAGAAGCCAAGTCATCTTGTGAACTTCGCTTCGCTTCAGTGCCGCACGGAAGTCAGTCTTCAACGCTTCGACTTCCTTCAGCAGCTGATCGATGCCTTTCCACTGGAGGGCACAGTGAGTTCCAATGAGGTTGCTAGGATCAACAACTTGCTGTGGGACATTACCAGAGTGCTGTAGCTGGTTTGGCAAACCTTCTTCGGTTCCCAGAACTGGACTCTTGGTGTCAAGTCTTTAGGACTTGCTGACTTGGCTACCTTTCAAACCTGCCTGGGAACTACTTTCTCGCATGCTGAAAGTTTGCTTAGACAAGAACATGGAAGCTTCAGCAAACACTCGAACCAGTGCTCCAGGTTTCATGGTTCTACAAACTCCACCAGCTAGTCGCAATGATCAGCAAAAAAAAGAATTGCAGGCACAGGGGCTTGGCCATTGAACCCAACTCTTGACGGGAGTTGCTACGTACCTTCCGGGGAGAAAGGTGCTGCAGAGTGTTGCACCTTGAGAATCGCCGGTGACCTCTTTCAGCTCTGGGCCAAGGAATTTGTAAAACCTGAGCCGTCAAGACCAACAGACTAACATTGAACAATCAAAAAGCGAGGGCTAAGAACTGGGCTGGTCCAAGACTTGCATGATTTCGTAGAGGTCGGTGCAAATTTTGGACCTTTAGTAGAAGAAACTGGCTCTGGAAGTCACATGCGGGCTGTGACAAGGAACATGTAGTTGGTCTTCTTGAAAAGCAGGATCCGATCAAAGTCCCAGCCTCAGGGAGTTGACCAAACTGAGTAGATTTGGTTCTTGCTGAGTAGATTTTGTCACCAAGGGACGCTGGTTTGTTGCTGGGCTCTCTTCCATCTTGTCACGAGTCATCAGGTAGATGTCGGACCATTTCCTCGAATCATCAGTCCATAGACTCAAATATTTGCAATCGACTTGTGACTTTTACATGTGTGCACGCAAGAAATTTCAAGGAACAGCCAAAACAGGGTACTCTTCTCAGAAAGTCAACGCTGTGGTTCTCCAAGGGTCACAAGTGCATTCTTACCATCTTCGATGATTTGCATTGCCTGACGAGTCAATTCATCTCAGCTTCAAGCTAATTGCCCGCAGCAGACAAAACTACAAGGTGTCATGCCTTTGGAGGGTCCAAGGACAAGATTTGGTTGATGTTGATTTGCTCCTCGATGCAGAAATGGAACACTGTTTGTCCCATTCAGAAGAAGCCAACTGCTTGAACATTTATATAAGGGCTCCTGGACTTTGTCTGCAATCTGCTCCGCGATGCGACCCATCAGCCGTTCCATATCCCTGACGAGGCTGGGCAAATATCAATACTACAGCTGGCAATCAGGATGACTCAAGGCCTAGAGTCTATCTAGGGTCATATCGCTCATGTCCTAGTGTACCAGATTCCGAGCTTCAGACTTGTCAGTGTTGAAATACCGAGAAATGATCCAAACCTAGCCCCGATAAACTTGGACAGTGCGTTGTATCATGTTGCTTCATCGCCTCCGATTCCCTGCTCACATCTCAGGCTCAAACGTGGCGAATGGCAGTCATCAAGGATGGAAGGGTTTCCTAAGCTTCCCTCCGCTTTGGATTTTCCACCCAGAAAACAAGAAGCCACAGGTCTCACAATTTTCCTCAGTTTCTCCAAGCATCGACAATGGTTTGCATGGATCCTGTAGCAAGGCTCTTGAAATGTCGCCTGGGCAGCAACAAATCATCAACAAGTGCGCAGCCGCAGGCAGCCGTGTGCAGCAGTTCGATCATGTTCATGTGGTCTATGGGGTCTTTCCCAAGGCACTCCAGAGTCGTCAAGAATTTGACATTGTCCTCTGGCTTCCATGACAGTATCAGTATCACTCACTCATAGACAATTGAAGGAGTGGCAGTCCTTGGCCACAACATGCATTCCTTGCAAGGCTCCAAACTGATCCTGAAAATGATGAAGAAAGCGATCCGGCACAACGCGTCTGATTTTTGGTGTCTCCACTTGCCTTGCCTGAAACTGCTGTAAAACAGGAGGTTCCGAAGCTTCCAGAACTTCGAGAACCTTCAAAGCTTGACGGTGCTTCAAGGGTAAAAGCCAAGGAAAACGAGTGATCACGCAGTACTGTGACAAGTGATCATAAAGCAAGTGATTGCTTTCTTGCTTTCACAGGTTCTTGCTTGCAGTTGACACCGACCTTTTTGACCCCAGGCAGTTGCAGCTGCTCGTAGACCGTGGAAACCTTGCTTCACTCTTCGGCTCATGATGACTCGTCCAAAAGACGACGACACCGGGCCTTGGAGGAGCGATCTCTCCAAAAGTCGATCTCAGCCATGGGAGGTAGGCTCATGTTCTCCTTTTCCTTATCTCTTTCGCCTTCCTCACATATGGCGACTTAAAGATCAACGCTCTTTGCAGCTGCGCTCAAAAATGCCTCCTTCAGGACTTTCTCAATGATGCTGCTCCATTCTGTCACTGCCTCATGCATGAAGTTTGACTGCGAAAGGGAGAGGAACGCGCAGCAAAGCCATAGAAGGCCTGTTCAAGTATAGAGATGACGCTCGGATCATGGCGTGCTGCATCCATGTCCTGACGACTCGTTGCTGACACCGAGCAGCCGCAACAAACTCGATGATCACAACTCTTTGCAAAGGTGCACTTGCTTGAGTGTCACGAGATTGAATTGTCCTTGGAATCTTAATTTATTTGTGTCTTTGTGGATCTATTCCAACAAAAGTGCGATGACAAGATAGTTTCTATTTTTTGTTTTAGACAAACATATCGGATGAAGGTCAGCCAAGGTTATGATAAATGAAAAAAGTTTCTGACTGCCTCAAGATCCACGGCTGGCACGCGGATGTTCACATTCCCATACACCTCCCATTCACTGCAAGCTCGAGAGTCTGGTGTACCGTAAAACTTGTGACGGCTCAGGCAAACAGGATCGCCTGCACGACAGTCTGGTGAACGTGACCCCTGAAGCGTACGGTGTAGCCCAGGATCTCATCTTGGATGTGGGATGGCCTCAAAGTAGGCAAGCTCATCTTGTGTTTTTGAATCTTGCACTAAAGGGCCAGGCAGATTTATGGCATTCGACTCTTCTTCTGGCGAACCGGTGACCTGTCAACTTAGGCTGAAGGTGACCAAATAGTTTGATACAAGATGGATGGCTCAGTCGTGTGCGGCTGCAGAGGCAGCCACTATCTCCTCAAGCAACCAGATTCAGGATGCAGGCAGGCAACGAAACAAACTATTCCTTGCACAAAACGCGAGCGTTCCTCGACCTCTTCGGCTACAGTCTTCTCTGGAGCTTCCTAGCAACTCGCAAAGGAACTAAAGGCAGCAATACGAACTCTGTAATGGATCTGCATCCCGAACTGAAATTGCAAAGCAGAAGCATACTGAACTGACTGAAGCTCTTGAAGGGATGGCACTCCTCATCACCAGGACCTGGCTCATTTCCACGGCCCTCATCAAGCTCTGAACCTTGTCAGTCAAAACAGCGCACCCTGGTCACTTCATTCGAGTAAGAAGGCTTTGTTCTGGGTGCACATGGGTTTGCATCTTGTCACACATGTCAGATGTATGACATAGGTAGTGTCAAGTCCAAGAGTCGTGACAAGGGTCGTTTGTGGAAAAACAGTTTGCATGTTGAGGCAGCAACCATCAGCTGCAGCCTCCGCCCTTGTAGCTGAATGCATCCATGAACAAACAGTGAAGCACAGCTTTTAAATTGAATCACAAGAGGTCAAACCACATCTACTCCAGACTCTTGTGTGAGTCTTGAAGCAGCCAAGGTAGCTGCTCTGCATCTTCTGCCTTCACAAAGAACAGGAAGTTTGACAATCCAAGGTGGCTTCGATGTCGAACACAAGTTGAGCACACATGTTCCGGTGCTGTAGCCAGCAGGAAAAGGCCAAAAAGGACCTGCTTCATTGAATGGTTGTTATTTGGCGGCGTGGAAAGAAACCGCCTCAGACTCGGAGCCACGCCGTCGGCTCTCTGCCTTGGCTCTATTGGTTCCTGGCAACATGCATCACATCTAATAGACCAAACGGATCTACTTCCAATAGAAGCAAGTTTCACATCTGCGTGGTTTGACATGCATGCTGCATTCTTCTCAAGAAACTCCCGCTTGTCATGCATGTCGCCTTTGCTCAGCGCAGGAATGTAGATCTCGTTCATCATCAGCTCCAAATCCCTCAGGAAAGTGCCTCAAGAAGCATTTCACGCAGTTCAACAGACTTTGAGTTCAACAAAGATTCAACAAGGGCGGGCGGACCTTCAACAGTACCGAAGGTGACCTCTCTCCGAATCGTGGCGGGACTGCAAGGCCTCAGCTTGGAGGAATGCATCTTTGTAGATGCAAAAAATAAGCAAAAAGAAGTCTGCACAAACAACCAGCAAGAAAACAAGCGCTCTATTCAGAATTTGCACCATGTGTGGTTCAGCGTTTCTGTCTTTGATTAAAGGTTTCATGTCGAGCCATGTGTATACTCAGCTGCTGACCCATTTATGTGTTTCATAAAATACAGGCATAGTCTGTCCAGCGATCCATCAATCAAGGCACCAACCTGAAGAAGCCCCTTCCATTGCTCTAAACACCACTTTCTGTCCTTTGAGAACCACACTGCGACTGTCAATACCTCACCTGAAGGAACATCTTCAAAAATCCGGATATATAACTTTTGCTTCAAACGAGAAAGCATGGCTTGGCTCCGAACGAGAAAGCATTTGAGTGGTTTCCTTTGCCAGAGTCTTGGCTCGCCTCGATTAGGTGCTATCTCTCACGCTCTTCACTCTTTTCAACCTACTGTAAAATCGAAAGAATCCAATCCATCTGGGATGCATACGCAACGCTTTTCCGTGGTTCAGCCTTGACCTGAATCACACGCAGTATTGCTTTTAAGTGCTGCAAAACGCTGCAAAGCAACAAAGAACGGTGGAATTGAACACATACTTGCAGCACGATTGGACATTCTTTGTTGCAGTAACCTCCAGGATCATGCACATTTGTATATAGTTGCTGCAGGAATGTTTCGACGTGGGCCATGTTTGCCAAACCAACCTCGTCTCCTTCAGGATCAGGTACAACTTCACCCTCAGCCTCAGGCAGCATTTCAAAACAGAAAAGCAACCCTTGTGTGAAGAAAAACATGAGGCCGATACGTCTAAAACCACCTCTTCACCACCTGGTATCATGAATCGCTAGAGTTAAACGCGGGAACAAAACAAACACTTGGCAACCTCCTGATAAAGGATTGCAGAATAGAACAATTGAAAAAAATATATACCGTACGAAGGTTTGCCTTCGGCTGCACTTTCTGCTTCTCCTGGAAACTTCAAGCGCTCAAGGAATGCACTGCCGAGCACACATGTCAACAAGGTCTTGGTCCTTCTTGACCGCCCTCTTTGCTGCCCATCTCAGAGACCTTCAAAAACGAAGGCACAAACGTGCTGGCGTGCTGGGACATTGTTTGCATTGCAGCTAGTTCAGCGATGAGGCCACCGCTATTCTCAGATAAAACAAGGCTGTTGTGTTCTCTGGCCTCACTGCAAAAGGTCAACAAACAATTTTCATAGTCTGAGACTGAAAGGCTCCGACGCTGCATCGAGGAAATAGGCCAAATCCTGAATGCTGTTGGGCATAACACTCAAAATGCAAGAGCAAATGCGAGCTGTCGTCCATAATTACTCACAGTCACAGACTCCATCCAGCCTTTTGAGCCTTTTCCTCTTGCAACAGCTGTGTCCACTTCTCAGCCTTCCAAATCTAAACCCTAGAACTCACTGACTAATCCAAGGGTGGACTGCATAAGTCTGTTTTCGCTCGGCTGACCACTTGGCCTCTACTGGCAAAACAGCTTGGACGGTTCGTTGGAGCCATGACAACCGCGCATCAGCCATCGGAAAGACGTGAAAACGTCCTCACGACAAATGCAAATAAGATAATTGCAAACCTGTAAAATCAAGCTAAGTTTCCCAAGTGTTTCCTTCACGTTCACACTCTGTCACCAACTCAGAGACACGGCACTTTCTGGGAGGACCAACCCAGCCTGCGTCGATGTGCACGGTTAGTTTGTCCGGCAGCTTGATTCTGCCAAACTTGACTCCCCTGAGCCAATTGGCTGCAACGGACAGAGGCCAAAAAGCAGATACAATCTTGCAGGTCCAGTCCATCAATCCTGCATGTGTGGATGTTCGGGTTGTGTTCTCCTCAACAAAAACGTCCAAACATGGGTTTGTTCGTTTGAGAAATTTGTTTTACGAAAGCTTGCTGAGTGGTCAAGTCAATCAGACATAAAAAAGATTCGCTGGCGCATGTTGGAACTGGCAACTGAATTTGCTGAAATCGCCGCATGTCCACAAAATTTCGCAAAACATTCCACCAATCCAGCATCAAACTTCGGTGTGTGAAGAAAGCAGGATTCCAACTAAGTCCGCAATCATCAAAAAATCACACACTCGGGAAATGGTGCGTACGAACTGAAAACCTTATGCCAAACAAGCCACATCCTGAAAAACCTACTACCTTTAAGTAGATTACAAACGTTCTAATCACAAAACGAAAGCACGTGCAACAGCTCACAACCAAAGCGAAAGCACTCGCACCACTTTTACGCGCACCTTGAGCCAGTGCTCAAGTCTTGAGCCTTGAGCCAAAGTTAAGTACAAAAGGCTATGAGGTATTCCTGGCTCCAAGCAATTCCCACGCGAGACACTGAAAGTGTCGAGCTTAAACGCTCAAACATGCAAAAACCGTTCAAGAAACATTCACACTACAAAAGTTACAAAGATTTCTGTTCACACAGCTTTCTAAACATTGTACATTCCGTGAGCTATGCTCCCCAAAGCTTGAAAAACCTCACAGCTAAAGCTTCACAAAGCGCTTAAACATGAGCGCTGCTGTTCTCAAAACAATTGCTCTTTACAAAGCTGCTTGTAAACTGACATCGCCACTAGTGTAGTGCACCCATACACTTTCACACTTGGGACTCTCCTCATGCCTAGTCTTCAGACACTTCTTGCACAAATGAAAGCGAGACAAAACACGGCCTTTTTGGCATAGATGCAGTACGATGTCAGGCGCAACACTGTTCCCTTCTCAGTTCGATAGTATGAACCGTGCACATCGATCCAATCTGCGAACACTGACGGGATGACCTCGTTCACTTCAACGCTCACATCTCTTGTTCTCTTCTTGCCAATCGACTCATCAACTGCCATTGCCCGTTGATTCCTTGAATCGATCACCACCTGCACTGAACGGCAACATAGCTTCAGTAGAATTCCTCCAACGAACATGCCACTCACAAAAATGAGAATGCGCAACATCTCAAATTCTCGCCCATCCACACAAGCAAGAATTATAGCTGCCTCCATGAACGGCGACGAAATCGCAAACGTGCCCCCAAATAGCTGCGGACAAAAGCAGTCAGCTAGCACAGCAAGCAAAGCACGCTTGAACCACATTGCATTCATTCCGAATCTCCAGACCTCCATGGCTTTGCCAATAGGACCTTCCGATCTCCAATTCCGATCTTCTCTTCAAGAGACCGTCGACCGGCCTCGAAAACCTCAGACTC